TGGTGTGTTTTGGGGGGGGGGGGGACATGCAGATCTGTCCTCGCAGAGGAGGGAGAGCTTGTACCTGAATAAGACTTGGCCTTAAAGGTGCCACTGGACTGTTTTGGACCGGGGAGCCGGAGGGAGCTCTGCAATTCACCTGGCTGCTTCTTGCTCTGACTGAAGGCTGCTGGGAGCAGGGGGTGGGGCTTGTTGCATGTGCCTGCCCCCTGGGCTCTTTACTGCCGGAGCTCCGCTCCTGTGCGCTCCTGCAGGAAATGACCCCTGGTTAAATGCAAGAAGAACAGTATGAAGACAGATTCGAGACCTTAGAGACCAACAAGATTTTCAAGGTATACGTTTTCGGGAGTCAATGCTCTTTGCCTGACAGAGGGGGCTTTGACACTCGAACGCTCCTACCCTGAAAATCACGTTGATCTCTAAGGTGCTACTGGAATCGAATCTAACGGTTCTACCGCAGACCAACACGGCTACCCCTGGAAGTATAAAGGCATTATACTCAACAGTGAACAAAACAGTGCACTACAAGATTGGAGAATATTGAACTAAAACAACATAATAGTATAATATGTACAACAAGCAGTGCAACAGAGCTGGATTCCAAAAACAGAAGAACAATGCGGGGGGGGACACACTACGGTATTATATGGACACAGAACAAAGCAATGAAAACTGCTCAACAGTTTACAGGCGTTAAATGACCTCCCTGTTCCAGAGGAGTCATATGCTTATAAAAATGCTTGCTTTTCTTCATTTGTGGCTAGCTCAAAGGGTCCTATACAGTCCTATACAGAATTAACCCAGTCTAAACCCACTGAAAACAGAAGGCTCAGACTGGACTAATACTGCATAGGATTGTGCTGTAAGAGTCTGAGTTTCTATCTTTGTCTAAACATCACAGCAATGCCTCCTCCCTTCTCAAGCCCAAGCCACTGAATGGGCCAGGGCTGTCATGGATTCATGAAAAACATGCTTTGCATGCAGAAAGCCCCAGGCTAATCCCCCAGCATTGCCCATTTTAAAGGATCTCAAGTAGCAGGTGTTTGGGAACCTGGGAAAGCTGCTAACAGTTAAGAGCTTAGCTGTACAGTACACATGGCTCGAGTCAGGTTCAGCTCTGCCATGAAGACCATCAGTCACATGTGCATTTGCAAATTCCCTGCTGGGAACTCAGACCGATTTCACACAAGAGCTGTGCTGCGGTCGCACCTCCCTTTGCCCTGCTTCTATTGGTCAATTTCCCACTCGAAGCCGCACAGCCGCATTTTGACCCGTGGCTTCGCCCGATTTTCCCTGCGGTTTTGTAATCCTCAAAACACAGGATCACAAAACCGCGGGGGAAATCGGACAAAGCTGCGGGTCAAAATGCGGCTTCGAGTGGGATATTGACCAATAGAAGCAAGGCAAAGGGAGGCGCAACCGCAGCACAGCTCTTGTGTGAAATCGGTCTCCATTTGTAGGCGCATGGGGTCTGATTCATATTGGGACTGTGCAGGGAAAGAAAAAAGAGTGCTTGGGCCTCCCTTCCTCATGCCATTTTCTTGACTTGAAATGGCCCCAGGGGAGTGTTATTTGCCCCACTGTGGAAATTTTGTTTAAGCCATCAGCACTTGTGGAATCCCCAAATAAGGCAAATTGCTCCCCCACACACCATTTTCAGGTCAGGCTAATGGCTTAGGGGGGGAGGCAAATCCTATCTTGTGCTTGCCACAGTCCTGATCCAAATTTTGCCTTGCGCTCCTGGAACCCCCAGTAAAGAACTTGTAAGAGTGTGTGGATCACATAGACCGGAGGAGGAACTGGGGGAGCCACAAGGTATAGATAGGAACTTTCGGTCTGGGGCAAGTGATGCTCTCTATTCTTGGTGCTTGGGGGAGGGGCAACAGTGGGATGGCCCCACTGGTGGACCTCCTGATGGCACCTGGTATTTTTGGCCACTGTGTGACAGAGTGTTGGACTGGATGGGCCATTGGCCTGATCCAGCATTGGCTTCTCTTTTGTTCTTATGTTCATATGTTAGTATGTAGTTATGTCACCAATACTGGGCTACTTGGCCTGATTCAGGTTAAAACATCTGTTTTATATGATGTTTTGTATTAAAGAAAGACTTAGCAAGGTTAGAATGTCTTTCACCTTCTCCCTTTCATCCCCATGAATGACTAGGAGGCTGCTTGTATCCTGGTAGGCTTCTCGGGGACAGCTCAGTATAAGAAGGAGGTCCTGGAATGTCCAAGATGGCTTTGGCAGTCGAAGGCCTCCCCAGAGCCTTATGTGAATTCTCAGAACAGAGGCTGAGGGAAAACATGCATCAGTCTAGACAGAGGTCATTTCACATTCTGGGATGCTTCAGATATTAATCATGCAAGCCAGCCTTCTCTGCCTCTGCTTTTTCATTTGTGAAGGATTAAAGTTCAGGGGACTAATTTGGGGCGGTGTCCATTCTGCTCTGATTAACCAATTTACGGTGGCCCCTGAACATTCCTAGGAACTTGCAATATCCAGCCACTTTGAGAGGGTGGGTGGAGATGAGGAGAATAAGCTAAATCCTCAGTTAGACTGGGGGAGAGATTGGGGGAGAGGATACATGACTCATTTCTCTCAGCATAGCTTCACCAGCAGCCAGTTGGTTTGGTGTGAGTTGCGCCGATGTTTGTCCTTCTGTGCTATGAGATAGCCTGGGAACAGGTCACGCTATTTTATGTTCAATTTAACTTTTAGACCTTTTTGGATTGTTTAGATCACAACAACATGTGAACTTGGTGAACCCAAGTTTATTGGGTAACACGAATGCAAGTACAGAGTGTGCCTCAGGGAGAACTGGGGGACTAGACCACTTCCTGATTCTTCCCCAGGAGAACTTATTTTTGACCTAAGAGCCAATCTAGGGACAAAAGTTGTGGATAGGACAGAATTCTTCTGTGGAACTAACTAACACAGCATGCTAATTGTACTCTGCTTCTTTTTCTTTGCTTCTAAACCTGGGGATTTGTAAACGAAAAAGAGTTGTCTACAGAATCCCCAATGTCTTCAGCACTCCCTTCTCCAATGGACACATGCTTTTCAAAATGGGCTCTAAACGTTTCACTCATGTATAAGAGGAAGTAAAGAAAACCCGACAGTAACTTTTCCGTTGCAAAATGCTCAGCCTATCTATAGAACAGACCCATACCTGTTTTCCTTACGTCACGTCTTCCATGCCTATGTTACAGACTCCGTCTTTTGTTCTCTTGAAATAGTAATTCTTTCAGCTCCTACTGAAGTTGCTGTCCTTGCACGCACACACAAACTTCATATTATATATTTTGTGTGTGTGTGTGTGTATAACCTTCAGATTCCCATTCCTTGACACCAGAGGGATTTTATTTTTTGTAATGGAAAAGCTGACAGTTGCAGACAAGCCCCGGCCACACAGCTGCTTAAGCTATTACCACTCATTGTAGTGTAAACCATTATCGACTCATCATATGCTGTTGTGCTGTGCAGTTTTTACTTATTTGGATATTTAGCCCACTATCCTATCCCTGGAGACACAGGAACAAGGAACAGAAACATGTAATTAAAAAAATACAGATGTTTAAAGCTTTCAAAGAGCCCACAGCTCATTCCTAGCCAGGAAATACTGGCTGCATTAAATACTGTTATGTCCCTTCCCAAAGATGCAAGATGCTTAGGGTTCCCAATGCAACACCACCATTAGCGATGAAAGTGTGCTGGTATGAGCCCAGTACAGAATACCAGTAAGGAAGTAACCAAAGTGGTACCTCCCATTTCTGCTTCAAGCCCCGAAAGAGAGAAGGAACAGCAAGAATAATTTTTCTGCTTCAGGCACCTCATGAGAGGTAGTGACAGTAAGAATAAATTTCTTACTTATGTAATTAATGTTGCCCCAGCTTCCCCTGGCAACACTGCAAACCTGGCATGCGGCCATCAAAGTGAATGTATGGTTGCCTTATACCCAGGGGTCATTTCGTAGAAAAAGAGGTGCAGGAACTCATTAGCATAGCTCATTAGCATAACTTATTTGCATATGCCACACCCCCTGACATCACCGGAAGTGTGTCAGAAGGCAACACCCACTGCTCAGGCTCCACTGGACTGTTTTGGATTGCTAGCTATTGGGGGGGGGACATGCAGATCTGTCCTCGCAGAGGAGGGAGAGCTTGTACCTGAATAAAACTTGGTCTTAAATTGGATTGTTTTGGGCCAGGGGGCCGGGGGGGGGGGGGCTCTGCAACTTACCTGGCTGCTTCTTGCTCTGACTGAGGGCTCTTGGGAGCAGGGGGTGGGGCTTGTTGCATGTGCCCGCCCCCTGGGCACTTTACTGCCA